CTACAGGAAACACTAATACAGAACAACCCATATTTCACTCCGCCTGTTCACCAGGCTCATTCATTTCCCTCCAGTTCGAAGGCTTCGTATGAACCAGCTGGCCTTCTTTCTGCAAGCCGTACAGGGTCTTTGGCGTTGTCTGCTTGGGCCGATGGCAGTCATGTGAACCGTCACGCATGGTTTTCTGCTAACTTGCTTCCAGAAGTACAGAATAGTTTCATTTCTTCGAGAGAGCTTCCGGCCATATCCACTCCGGCTTGGCTGTTGCTTCAACCGGAAACAGAAATGGATGCGATTGAACAGTTGCGACGTCGACGACGTCATCGTGTATTTTCCGATAATGAGGTTCTCTGGCCATCCTTGAACTCTGAAAATCAGTCTGGCAAGTTATTGTGTTTTGAGAATTTTCTATAATCGTGTTTCGCAAACTAATGAATGACCTACTCTTAGGTTTCTGACTCTGAATCAGGTTGCAGAGACAACTTGAGTCTGACGAAAATGTAAATTAAAATGGAAAGAATTTATCAAGACCGCAACATACAGATTTAGGTCATGAGAAAGGATAAGGGACTTATTTGACGCGAAATTCGAACTAGAGCTGGACAGCAGTACGTGAGTTAAGTGAACATCGTAGTTTGAATGTTTCTGCTTAAGTACGCATAAAGTAATTATTAGGAAGGCAAGAGCTAGAGGATCGAGGAGAGCCATCGATTTCAAGATAATGTTTAATCAAAAGAAGACAATAAGGCCTTTTAGTCACTAGCCCTCTTTATATACTGTTATGGAAGAATATGGGCCCTTATTTTATATGCATGTGCACAAGGGTCTGTGCGTAAAACAGTATTAGAAATCAAAATGTGACAGGAATGAACTGTTATCAAATCATCAATAATTTAACTTTAGATTATATCACTGAGATGAAATAATTTTGGTATCGTGCTATTTAATCGGACCGATAAATTTGATTTAATTCTTAGAATATGCTCGGCTAAGAGATGATTGGGCCATGGCATAATAATAGGGAAAAAGCTATTATTTAATGTAGTGCGCAAAATAATTTGATTCGTCAATAAAAAGTTTGTTGCCCTAGTTCGCATAAGGTGATTTAATGAGTGAAAGTTGAGTTTTCCCACAGTGAGATGAATAGGCCTTACAATGCAGATCAATTTCACTTGACTTTGCCTCAAAAATGGCTATCTCACCTAGGGGGCACTGCATTTTCAACCCATAGCGGGAACTGAACTAGAGCCATGAGAATAATGACAGCGTTCTCAATCCAACTACATAACCAAACGTGCTAGCGAGTCACAGGACAGACTTGGCTTTTAAGGCAAACCAGGCCTCTTCTAACTAGCATTTATAGTAAGATTGTCGACAAGCAAATATATGTTTGCCATTGAAATTAGTGAGCCTCTCAGTAATTCTTGAATAAGAAATTAACCACTCTTGGTCGCCTTGGTTGATTCACGGACTCATAGCTGAGTTTTCTACAATGAGAGAATTATCCCTCATGACAATCAGACTAAGCCCAGGCCAAACTCTTGTCCTCTCTGAATGAGATAAGCTTTTGGCTGGCATGGCTAAGCGAAATTCAACGGCATAGTAGGACCTACTCATCTCATTGCGGTAAAATTAAACTATCAGTCATTTAAGGAGTTTATATTGTATATTCCTGGAGTTTGTTAAATGCTTATATAAAGCAAAATTTCATAGCAATTTTTCAACTTTAAGTAAACTTCAACATTTGCCTTAAATCCATTATGACCTTAAAATCTCAGTTTAAACAGGAAATAACAATAAAAGAAGAATAGCTCCCGATAGCAGCAAAGGCAGCAAGCTAGTGAACATACACAGTGATTCAAATTTCAGCTATTCCTTCCTCACGACGTTTTACCTTGCTTGAGGAACTAGCTATTTCGTAGTAATGACGACTAAGATGTGTCCTTCCGTTTGGTCTCAGTTTCTTTGCCTTGTAAAGAGTTGATTCGACCTTGTTTCGCAACGTAAACGATATATTTGTGTATCAATGATTGTGTTCACCTTGATTAAAGAGAACACTTAGTTCAACCAAGTAGAAAATGCTTTAAACTATGTTCATCCTTCTTAAACGAGCTGAGATAGATGGTTCCGAGCAGAATTTGTCTAACAGATTATGCAACCAGTCTTCAGTTAAATGGAATAATGATTGTTTCTTAGTTTAGATTCTAAGAATATTTAGATTAAGGTTAGACTTTACTGACTTCCATTCTCCCGGTGGTTTACCTGAGACGAATATTTTTATTATCACCGATTTAATAATTCCTACTTTCATCCTATATGCATGTTTAAACAAGAAATTAAGAAGTAAACCAGGAGGCGTGGATTTCATATGCACATCTCTACCAAATTTAGCCTCTTCCTTACTTATTAAGACATAAGGAAAAAGTAAATTATCATTCTTATAAATATAGTTATTCCATTAATCTATTGACATGCAAAGGATTCTTCTAATCTAATTGCTGTATTTAACCTATTTAGTTTTGGTTGATGAAGGGCTGGCAGTTGAATTTTCTTTCACAATGATATGAGTAGATATGATGCTTGATTTAATTTCACATAGCCTTGTTTCCCAATAGGTATTCTCATTCAGACCTGAATGGACTGTAACTTCAACCTCGCCCATGTCTCATCAGCACCCCAAGGGAGACGAACCCAGGCAGTCCAGCAAATATAGTTTTGACACATTAACCACTACGCCACTCTGCCACGAGTGCTTTTAGGTTACATAGTAGATCTTGATTAAGAAGGCTGAATTTGTTATGCCAATTGTTTATATTACTTATTTTCTAGACTACCAGTATATCTTAAATAAGACCGTGTCGAGACTATACGCTGCACTACCCAGATTCGGGTCCCACTGGGAGTGTGGATGAGACCCAGATGGATCGAGACTGCAGTCCATTCTGGATGAGAATACGCTCTGAGAAGCAAGGCTATGTAAAGATATGAAGACCAAGATGGTGTGGCCTTTTGTGTGGTCGCAGTCTCCTTTCGTTGTATAGAAG